AAAGTGAGTCGATCACGGGAGTCTCGCGAGCGGAGCGGAGCGGGCCGAGTCGAGTCGCAGAAGAGTCACCATATTGGAAGCACCAATTTGCTGAGGTGTGACTAGCATCTCTTGATGATTTTGAGAGCAATTTCGGCTCGTCATGGATGGTTTTTGGCCCTAAAGGGGCCTTAATTAGGGTGTTAGGGTACGGTCATTTTGGGACGGGCGAAGTGCTGGCAGACCTGTGACTCTCACATCGCTTAAAGAAACGGACTGCCGCAGGTGTTGTTGGAACTAACTACAGTGGTTTCAGAGTAGATGGCGCAATCCCCAAGTTGGGTAGTTTACATTATATGCACCCCTATATGCAAGACATCTTGGGGGTGGTGCCATCTACTCTGAAATGACTGTAAGTTGCTTTGGATGGTCCTTGTAAGAAGTACGACCAGGCTAAGCTTGATCGTAGTAGTGAATTGCATAACAAATGGCATGGTACTGGTTTTTGTTGCTATACATGTTCTAGATGTGACAATGAGTGTTGAGAGAGAGGGAAAGAAACAGAACGTGTGTATCATTAATTTAGTCATTCATTCATTGCTTACCTTTCATTGAATATTTCTTTACCGATGTTGATATCCTAGTTGTGTGAAGCACATGGTCTTTGACGTATTTGGGAGTGTTCCATTCAGCTTTCACACGTGATTGTGTTGACATTCAGTTCTGCTCCTGCAGTTTGAAGTGCACCGCTTCAATCCAACAGAACCTCTCAAAACAGAAAAGTCGAATGATGTCGAATGACCCAGACTGACCAAGACTGTCTCCACATCGAGCATGAGGTGTTTTTGCCACCGTTTGTGATGTGTCGAGCATCGAGAGCATTAACAAACTGATCGATTTCGTCAAGGACAAGATCGGAGTTGTGCACTATTGGCACCACGGCTGGGTCTCAAGATGGTCGAATGTCGGTAGAAAACCACTGGGCACCGCAGATCACGTGTGGAGTCCGTGTGGAGCCCGTGTGGAGCTTCGTACTCATTTAACATCAGCCTCATTCAAAACCCTGAGCTTCACCGAGTGGCAACCACTCTTTGGGCATAGAAAGGCCGAAGAACACCAGCTGGACCTAAGCCCATCACCGAAACTCCGTGAGTGAGCGAGTCAGGGTCAATTAACACTGGGAGTCAATTGACGGGGGCTGCGCATGTAGCCATGCTTACTGCCACCCCCCATTCGATTGTGCATGCTGGCTCAAGTCCTGTCTTAGCACGTTTGTCCGGGGGAGGGCATTCAAACAAATTGGTTGATTGCATGTTGCCACTATTTCTTTCGATCGATCACCCACGTGCGAAACAGTGGCTTCCCAGATCGGCGGTTGGTTTCCCACGGACCTGGGTCCCACGGACCGGACGTCATCGGCGGGGCCGCGCCAGACGTCTCGCCAGACTCCGAAAGACCACGGAATCACTCGAGACACCATAACGTGAAAGGTCGTTTGGCCCACGGCCGGGGACCCACCACAGGGCCCCGGCTCAACGTGAACCGTTTGTCGCACCGAGGATCAACAACGCAGGGATCAACGGCGGCCGACGGCGCTTCACGGAGGTCGGGAGGTTCGGAGGTCCGACGTGGAGCCTAGGCGGCTCCACGCGACCGCGGGGTGGTTTCTGGGAAGAAGGTTCCGGACAAAAGGTGAGAGTTTGGTCATGTTTCCTTCTATATGAGATGTTATGTTTCCGACTTTCGAGATGTCACACTTTTCTCAATGATGTTTGGAAGAGGAGCACTTTTTTCCTCAAGGTGTCCTTGCATGATGGTTAGAGTGGCATCGAGGGTCTTCTCAACGAGGTCTTCTTTGAGATCCTTGCCTCGGTGTCCCATGGTGTCCCTGGCTCCAATGTAAAAATCGGGGAGAGTACTGTGCACAACATGCCTTGTAATGTCGACCTTTGATTAATAAACCGGGGGGTTGCACCTTTTGAAATCTTTGTTTACCCAAAATAAAGTTCATCCCAGATTCCAAGAAAGAATTTAGTTTAATAGAGAAATGAAAGATCCCTTACTAACATTAATATTAAAGCTGAAAGGGAAGAACGCATATGATACAGAAAGGATCTGACAATATTTGACCCCCTACTAAAATAATGTATATTACAATGAAAGGGAAGGATGTCATGGCATTTGGTTACGTGGATGGCAGGGCCAGGGCGCATCGATCGCATGACCCGAAGAAGAACATTTGTGAGATTCCGTGAGACCAGTTGAGATGCAAGTGGAGTTCGCGCGGCGCGTCTTCCCGTCTTCCAGGTGAGCCCTGAGACGGTGGAGGCAGTGATCCGCTAGGCGCTCAGTGAAGGAAGAGCACATGATGCTGGCGCCAGCAGGGATGGTTTGATGAGAAAAACACCGATAATAAACCTGCAAGAAACACGAATAAGTGGATGCATGGCCCCTGGAAGTGGGATGCATGACCCCGAAAGAAAAACCAATGTTCTGTAGAAACAGGGGGTGCACTCCGCTTCCATGATTGGAGGGCACTACCCTAGTGGTTCGAAACTCGATGTGGTAGGCCAACTTGAAGCCAGACGTGCACTTTGCAAGAGGGTGGCCATACTTTTGAGATGTACTGTAACCTGCCTTATGGGGACCCAGTCGGGGGGGTGCTCGTACTTTGGGTTGTTCCAAGGGCACAGGAGGCAGAATCGGCCTTACATCATGTGAACAGCACAACCGGTCGCACGACTGACGAATGCGCGACCTGCTTAGGTGTGAACTTGGGCCATTCAGCGGCACTGATGTTCGGATCGCCGCATTGCCGGGAGTGCATCTTGCGTTCTCTTCAGAGCGCCCCTTGAGGGTGGCGTTTGGGACTGTGCCACACGGCTCGTCTGGGATGCAGCATCCACACTCCGCGGTATCCGCAAACGCAAAGGACTTGTGAAGTGAGCACCCACTAGAGTGGCCGCATCCACTCATTGACGCATGTGTCATTTTGTCTTGTGAGGGACTTTCATACAATGTGCAAGGAGCACACGTACACACATGCAAAAGAATGCAAAAAAACTCCTCGATGTGTTCGTGCGAGTATCAAACTGATTCGGAAGGCAATGGCAATCCAGTTGAGGTGGCATCCTCCTGTGCACCCATGCAGCCATGCGGATGATGGAACAGCAGCAGCTTGGCAGAGTAATTATGCTGCGAGGATGAGTGGCAATGAAAGTGCTTGGGAGGAAGATCCCTGGATGCTGTATTGAGCGCCACTGAGGCAATTGATGAGCAAAATTATCTCCCGCACGCTTGTAGTGAAGGATAAGTGGATGGAAAGGCAAACGGCAAACCTTCTCCAAGAGTCCATCAAACAGGCACTGTTCGGACACCTACGTACTGAAAAATTGTCTGTAACAGGCTTTCAGTGCATTATACAAGGATACAAAAGGTGCCTGGAACAAGGTGTTCCCGTTCACCTTCACTACAGATTTAGCATTCTGTCGCGGTCTCCTGACTTGTTTTGCTGACTGGGGGTTGGACAGGATACTGTATATCCTTATCAACATGTATTTAGTGTATGTTGGTAGAAGCCCCTTGGCAGAGGATATATGAGGAGTTCCCAAGCCAAGGGAACCCCTGCTCCAATGAGACTGACCATCGCAGATGCCTGTCAACCCGACAAGGGCTGGTGTGGAGAGCCACATCTTCAACACGGTGGGAAGCGGAGTGGCGGCCCAAGTGAGAAATAAGGACCTCTCAAAGCTGGCATGTCCAATCCTCACGGCACTTTTTATTGATCATCTATAGAGAAAACTTGATCTGAGTATACAACTCCAGAGCTGGTGTGAACTCTGACCACACACTTTGAGGTGAAGGGTGGAGGAACTCCGGGCTACGTGGCATACGGCGCCACGAAGCGTGGCCTCCCACAGATGACTGAGTCCCTGGTGAAGGAGCTTGAGGACGCTGGTGGCTGACCTGGGGGTTCAGGAAGCCGCAGCATGCAGAAGCGTTTGAAAGCCCGAGCAGCTTTTTGTGGCTTTCTTGGAGTCGAGTTGAGTCGAGCATGTCAATTCATAATCATTATTGATATATATATATATATATTGTTGCATAAACAAAACTGTAAATTTTGTGATCGGCCTCATGTGCGAAATAAAGTTTGAAGATCCGCTCTGTCCATGTGTTGCACGTATGAGCTATATATATATATATAAACCGTGAGTGAAGTCCAAGGGTCTAAAGTTTGGCCAGGAGTTAGGTGAAAAACATTAATGCCGCTGAGTCGAGTGCCGAAACATGGCTCATCACGTGATCCGAGAGAGATTTTATTCACTGCGCCGCATTGGTTCACCTCCACAAAGGGCGAAGTGGAATCAAGCCTTTTGGCCGACTTGGACCGCTTTGATGATCTATGATGCCTTTAACTATGTTTTTTTTAAAAAAAAACTTTTATTATATACGTAATCCCTTCACAGGGCTGGCCAAAGGGTTGCGGATGTTTCGAATTCTTTGCAGATGTTTCGATCAGCCTCCTTTCCACTCGCAGGAGGGTGTCCAGGGGATTCTTGGCAGCAGTGGGCTGAGCATGGCTGAGTCTCAGCCCTTTATATGTTTGTAATTTTTTATATCTATACACATATATGTTCTCAAGACTTTCGGGTGGGCAATGTGCTGTTGAAGTTCATTCAAGATTTCCAGATGCCAAACGGAACCGCCAAATAAACCAATGACGTACTTTCTAATTTGTTCAATCTCAACTTGATACCCTTACTGTACTTTTGATGGCGTGGCATGAAGCAGGCTCTGAGGCAACCTATGGGCATAGGTGGCGCAGGCCATGATAGTTAGGCCACAGCCTAACACGTTTGGTTCCTTTGCGCGATCGCAGGGCGTCGGAGGGCGCTGTCGCAGTTGACTCGAAACCTGGCACTCTCATGTTCACCATGGAAAGCTGGCAGCGCGGGGCCTTCCTCAGGTACGATGAAGTGAAAACACCTGGCAAAGTGAATTGCCATTGCCTTTCACCTGGTATGGCTGCGGCCTCAGGCAATGCGGTGCCTGAATCAAAGAGTTTTGGTGCACAAGGGCGGAGCGTCACTCCATGGCACTCCCAAGGTCTCCCGTTCGACCGGTCGTCGGCAGAGCCGACGACCGGGTCGCCCTTCGAGGTCTTTACCGATCTCCTCTTGAACGACAGCACCCCAGAGCTCCGAAAGTTCCCCTTCGGCGTGCTGGCCGCGCAGCCGGAGGAGGCGGCACCTGCGGTTTCACGGCGTTTTCACGGCGTGGGACCCGTGAAAGACGGCGCGATGAAAGACGCAGATGACTGCTGGATGTTGCTGGCAGTCTTGTGGTTCACCTGTGGGTCTACCAACAGTGAAGAATCATGAACTAAAGTACTAAAGCGTATCCATGGTCTAAGAACGGGTTTTGAGCTTTAGTAGCCAGAAAGTGCCATGCCGCCATGCCACCTCCATGCGATCGTTGGGAGGACATGTCGTCGTTCCAGGTCATTTGCATTGCGTGTCGGGCAATTGGTTTCCCTATGTTTCCCTGCATTAAAAAGCCTATAATTGACGACTCAGAGTTTCACTCAGTCTAGCAGCAACAGAAAAACGTTGTCTTTTTTGCGGCCCGGTCAGGGGCCGGAAGCTGGGCAAGGCGACCAGCCACGAAGTATAAAGTCATGTCACCACTTCACGGTTCATGGACATGTGAGGTGACCTTAAAGATGACCATGGCCCTTTCTGGGAGCGGGTAAGATTTTCAAGATTCGGCCCAATAAATATGCGACACCGTCAAAGTGAAAACCTTTGGAACTACCAACGGAAATGCCAGATTGTGGTAATTACATTCCATGAGTCCATGAGGGATTTCACCCTCACAATGCTGCAAAGGTTCATGTGTGACTCTTGAGGCACTCGTGTCACTCCTAACCCTGACGATACAAAAATTTGAGAACCTGTATCAGGTAGTGAGTACTCAATCCAAACCTCGGAGCGTCATGGGGGCTTCCAAGGGCTTCAATTATTCTCAGGGAGAGCAAAGCTAATGACATTCGGTTTCGGGGCATTGGCATGGCGGCGTTTTGGTTGCACAAGGTGAGTGGTGTGTAATTCACATGGTGTTTAATGTGTTTCGGCTATTTTTACACCTAATCACCCGATCCACCATAGAAATCATCAGACTACTTGAACCATTTCGACCTTTGACGTCATCCTTTTGACCCCCGTCCTCCGGTCCTTCGTGGCAACAGGTGGCCGCAGACTTGGTGCCCAAGATCATCAACACCAGTGGGAACGGCAAGTCGGTCGGGGGGGCCATGGGGCGCCGATCTGGGGGTCGCCAGGACCGCGACACATGGGATGGCCTCATGTATGATAATAGATGATGCCACCAAGACAGGACTTCGAGACATTGATGTGTGATGCCCCCCGCATCGCCGTCGTATATGAAAGAGGTGGGTGCCAGCCCGGGATCGCTAGGCACCTTGAGAATTGGTTCGCCAGGGGTCTCTGAAAACTTGTGACCACCTTAGTTTGACGTCAGACGGTCAGGCTTTGAGAACAGAAACAAAGGATTCCGGGCTGTTCTCCACTGCCATAGGTTGAGTTCCTGACCGTGGACAAGATCTTGACCAAGTTCTTCCAGAGATTTATCCTCGGAGCCGCTTGGTGTTTTTCTTTTTAGAATGGAGCTGCTGAACAGGCCCCACAAAAAAAGTGTCGATTTCAGGTCCCTCGAAACATGAGTCTCTCAACATGATTGTGGCTGCTGGCAAAGAGGGTGGACAACTTGTGACGTTGATGGGAAATCACACAGATAGACTTGGTGCGCATGAATGTCAACAGATATGCCACGTTCACCAAGAAGTTCAGAGAGTCCCGACTTGAAGCTGCAACTTACTGTGATTGTTCCCACTGTTTGCGATGTCCACCGCCCGGATGAAGGACTCCACACGTTTGTGATGCGTCCAATGCAAAATCCTCCATATATAGACCGGTGAAAACTAACATGTTCGCAAAAAAAACATGTTTTGGCATATGTTAGTCTAGTTTCCGAGCGGACACCGTTGAGACTAACCTAGACCAAATTCAGATGTGCCATGGTGGGCCCTACGGGTACCTGACTCAGGTTTGTTGAAAGTTTGTGTCAGTGTGGACCAGGGACTGAGAGTGGAAGTGGTCTATGTTAGCCACACGCCTGACTCAGGTTTGTGGAAAGTTTGTGTCAGTGTGGACCAGACTGAGAGTGGAAGTGGTCTATGTTAGCCACATGCTTCACTCGATATCTAGAAAACTTAGTGTCAGGTTGGACCGTGGACTGAGAGTAGTGATGACATCTTGCGATGGCCTCCAACCTACAGTACTTGCAGTGGCCCCCAACCTACTAGCAATGGACCCTTCTTTTGCTTCTAACCTGGACCATGTTAGGAGGCCCCGGACTTCGCTCGCTGTCGCCCTGGGACCCGACACTGTCTCGGTGCGGAGTCTCCGTCTCCCCGCCGCCCCGGTTTCCTGTCTTCCATTGATGTTTGAAGTCTGTTTGAAGCAATCTGTGAAAATTTCAAAAAAGAACACGTTGAAAAACCAATGATGCACCAGGTAGGCCCTAGAGGTATGTGGCACGGTCCATGTTAGCCTCCACCGGGCTATGCTATAGATGAAAAAAGAGCTGTCTAGTTTGGCGCCTGTCTCTCCCCATGAGATTTGTGATGACACCCCACCAAGGCCTACTTGCGATGGCCTCCAACCTGCTTGCAATGGCCTCCAACCTTCTAGCAATGGACCCGTCTTTTGCGTTCTAACCTAGACCAAGTTCAGATAGGCCCTGTTGGTGTTTGGTATGGTCTATGTTGGCCTCCACCGTGCTAAAAGAGCTGTCTAGTTTTGCACCTGCAGTACCTCGGTTGAGACTAACGTAGACCATGTTCAGGAGGCCCCTAGGGGTATGTGACATGGTCCATGTTAGCCTCCACCGGGCCATGTTGATCTCTGCCGGCGCGGTCTATGTTAGCCTGCGTTCCGTTTATAGTCAGAGTGCAGTTGGTCCATGTTAGTGTCAAAATTGATCATAGACTGAGAGTGGGAACTGTCCATGTTAGTGAGGGCCCAGAAATTGCCAAAAAGGCGCTAATACCGTTTCCCCAGGAAGTCACCGTTTCCAGTGGTCCATGTTAAAGCGCACTTGAAATTGACTTCTGGTCTCTGTTGTTTTTCCCCGGAGTATATATTATTAATTATCATTATATATCCCTATACATCCAAGAAGATTGAGATGATTTACATAGCTTAGAGTTTCTTCTTCGTTGTTCATCGCTCTTCACCACCACCTTGGGAATGCGACCCCTGGGTGGTACCACGGTCCACAATTAGCAAGCAAGGGAAGCAAATTGCAATTGCAAAGATAACAGTGACCTTTGGCCCCTTCGAACCCTCATCGCATGAGGAGCGCCCTCAAAGTATACTCATGTTACACCAAATGACGCCTGCAAGAGCGGGGGTCGCAGGGCATGCTGGGACGTGGGAGCGAGGAAAAGTCAAAGTACATCGATGATGATGGCAATGTGATCAAAATGCCTGGCGCTGACTACCAGGACTCTTTGCAAGTTTGGAATCAGAAAGCTTCGCACATCCTTGGTCCGCAGAAGGCTTTGTTGGGTATCAAACCGTTGGTCTTTCGGTGGCATGTGATATTGGATTCACTTCTCAGTATGCAGAGTCCATCCTCCCCACCCCGCCCCACCGCGACGTGACGTTTCAGACGCTGCGAGAGGTGAGACGCCAAACACTGAAACGCCGCTATCGCCTTTTGTGCAGGACAACGGTGTTCGTGTGTTGTACAACGGCATGAAGTGATACTTGGCATGTCATCAATGGAAGACGTAGAGGTCAGTGACGCACAGAGACTACCTGTCAATGCCTGTAATATATAGAATATGCGTATTCAAATTCAATCAGCATCCACGGGTCCATTTGTACGCGTTGTGGATTTGTAGAGACGGCGAGCTTGACAAAAAAATAGGCAAGGCTTGGCTGGATCAGCTGTTTTGTTGTTTGCCTGTTGAACCCACGCAAGCCCTTTTCGAGCTAATGATGTATAAAATCCAGTTGCTTCAGCAAAAAGCGCAAGCTCAGCCAGGATCCTTCATAGATCCAAGCGTGTCAGATCCCACCATCAATTTGGCCTCCCCTCAGAACCAAAGCCATCGCCTTCCGATCCGCCGCCCTCCCCTTCTGAGGAAAGCCTGAGACATCACCGGCTTAAGCGAACTTGCTTTGAAAAGCGGAAAGGGCTGCCAGGCTATGGCCTTGTTGAGACAACTCCATGCATCTCCATGCGCTAAATAAGATAGACTCTGTGTTACACTGTCATATCGACAGGAGAACAAACACAATAGAATCTCTACTGAACTATGGTGCGCAAAACAAGGATATCATGACACCTTAAACAGCAGTTTGAAACTCGCAGCGTTTTGGTTGCCACGTTCGTCTGGCTTTTTCGACACCTGACCCTGGCGGCGCCAATTCTCCGGACCCGTGAAACACGGGTTCCACGGGCAAACGAGCGCGCTCGACGGTGGAACACAAAGGAGGACCGTAGAGCTGAGGCTGAAAGAGTCCAAGAACACATGGTTTGGAACTCTTTTTTTGCATACTTTTGGGGTTTTCTTGTGATGTTTGTGCTGTGTTGTTTTCGCGTTGGAAGATTCTTTTGAAGGAACCACTGTGCTGTCCCAATGCATGCGACCGACTTCGTCAGACTTCGACCACTTTGTCACTTCGACTCGCCTCGGGACGGTCGCCGCTTCGCCTCGGGATGTCGCCGAGGAAGCCTCGAGACTGTGCCATCGGACTCCAACTCCAGTCCTTGGAGGTGGTCTCCACCGCTCCTCGGAGAGATGGTTGTGGGGGGCCCTGGGAAGAGAGATATGGCGGTGGCGGGGCCCTTGGAAGATGGATGACGATGGACTATGAGTCATGAGGCGAATGATTCATAAGGGACCCATCAATTGCTGCAGTTCGGTTTGGGAGTCCTCCAGGACGATTTGCTGATGTGGAATACGTCGGCCACCCGGCCACCCAACCAATTTAAATCATTTGTGCCTGAGAAGTGTGTTTTGACGACTTCCTTTCGTCCAGTTACTAGGGTGGTTTGCCACTTGAGTTTCATAGATTCATAGTGATTAAGTTATGTGCGTCGGCTCATTCATGCCGGTTTCTACCGCCAGGGTTGTTTTGACCTGCCCCCATGAGAGAACACCACTGTGCAGCTTCCAAGGATCAAACCTTCCGTGAATGCTTGGAGGAGGTGACCGTGTGTGGAGCCCAACGAGCCCAAGGATCCTGGTTGCCGGAGGCAGAACTAGTAAGGAAGAGTGGAAAGGGGCAGAGATTTTTCCAGGCAACGAAAGGGTTGATTGAACACCAAAATGAGTTTCTTGCACTGCGGTGGACTTGTTTATACAGAGCGGATAAAATATGTATTCTTGGTGAACCAGTTGAGTGAGCCAGCGGCCATGTTTTGATCAATGACCTGAACATATATTCTTGTTCAGTGCTTGTATATGTGTGGGAGCATTCGACCAGCCATTCTATGCCCAGATTGGCCCACACCGTACGCCTTGGAAGATTAACATGGAACCTGAAAACTGCTGGGTTGTAGAGGGAAACAGTCTTCCAAAGGTCATTTTCAGGTTGCATGTTAATATGTTGGGTGTAGCAGTAGCAAAGGGTCGATGCAAATGTGAACTTGTGATTCGACAGCTCAGTATTCCCCAAGAAGCTTGACTTAGGAGCGGCTCCTGCCGAAACTGTTGTTTGTCCTTCAAGCCACCGCGATAGATGAAACGTTTGACTTACACATGCAATAGGGTTTGGTTTGGGGATGTTCGGGTTTGTTGAAAAGCCACCATATTGCATGCATGTCTACATTCCAAATGAACAGAGTTCAAAGCCGCTCCGAGGGTTGAAGGGAGAAATCGGTCGAGACTGGAGACCTGCAGCGCGCGCACACCTCAACGCTTGCAGTTGTAGTGCCCTGCACAACGGAGCGGCTCAGGACGTTTGTTGCGGTGAACACATCCCGAGCGTTGCTAGATCAAGACATATCAAGACTCTAAGACTGCTACACCCGGCTTCTGGAGAGTGGCCAATAATTGTGACATCCGTCATCCGATATCTTTTGGGCATCAAATCAAGCTGCTCAGTTGCTAAGGTCTGGGCAGTCTTTGTACAAGTTGTTGCATTTGGAAGGCGCAGATTGGAGCAGGGGGGCCAACCACAAACATCCGGAGCCTACCCGATGTAGATCTTGGCAAGAAATGGCTGAGCTTTATTGAACCTCTTTCTGTAGTGAGTAGTGTTACTGTTGGATGCCATGGCATGGTGCATTGGCCGCCATTTGTTGGCACCATGGCAGGTGACCACATCCAACACGGGTTCACTTTACTTCAGTCATTTCAAGGAGGGGTTTGGTGACCGGTTTCCAAGTCTTTCAGATACACCCTGATACACCCGTGTGGAGAATCTAGCTTTGCTTGCGATGTGTTTTTTTGTTCATCCCGGCGCCCCGCAGCTGAACCACGTTCTTCGGGCTCAAGATTCTTCCACGTTGAGGTGGGCGGTTCAAACTGGTTCCCCAGCGGCTTGCATAGATGAGAAACCCAAAAGGAACACCAGAGAAGATAGCAAATTTGATGACCTTCGAGTGGCAAGCCAAAAATGATTAGTAGCAAGTGTTGATATCACAAGACATTCCTATCCCGCCAGTGCTTGCACCAACATGACCAATATCCGCAACTTTTTCCGCAATATATATGACGTTAAATCCCAGGTCCAAGTTCATTGAGTCATTGGTCCCTGGGGAGATCGATTCCGCACTGAATCAGCGGGCTTATGTGCCGTTGGCTCCCGGTGCTTGCAACTGATTCGATCCGAAGTCGGCCTCTTGGCCTCAGATCTTTCAGCGATTTGATACGCAATTATAATGTAACAAAAGCAAATATAAGTTCAAACCAGGCTGACTTGGGTGCAAGAAACAAGGCCATAGCGACGTCCATGCAACTTTCCTATCCGATCACTAGTTTTATCACTGAAACTCGATGCAGCTACCGCTGGTACCCACTTGTGAAGAAGCACACATCCTTAAGGGCTTAGCGTCAGCATTTGTGCGTTTGCGTGTGTGGGGGGGGGGGGCAAATGTAATGTTTGTTGGTCAGATAAAAATACACACATACCGATACACACACACACATGAGCATCCAACAAAATCTAGTGCATACTAAAGTAGGCACGGGTGGTCTTGGGATATTGGAAACCTGCATCAAACCTACATAACCGATGGGGGGCCGACCCGTCCACCGATGCCCTTTTGAGTCCTTTTGATGTACCAACCACTTGAGGAAGCACACTGCCATGCTGCCACACTACATGCATAGCTGGTACAAAAACTTGGTATGTTGCTCTTCTCAGTTTGAGTTGCTTATGCCTGTATACAAGACGTGCTGCAACACCTTCGAATTTCCAACCGCTGAATAGCTTTCTCACCATTTCTCACCGCAGTGCCTTACCGATGCCCCAACCGACGCCGACCGATGCCCATGGAAGAGCAATGTCCCCACCACTTGTGCAACCACTACTGCGTTTGATTCGTGCCCTCACTGTTGGCGTGCCAAACAATGGCAAGTTGCTGAGGGTAATTGCAGCCAGCTCTACAAACCTGCATAATCGATGGGGTCCGACCCATTCTAGGCAATGTCCTTAGGGGTAGATACCAGATTTGGTCCGGCGCGCGTCTTTAAGGGCTTAGCGTCAGCATTTGTGCGTTTTCCGTGTGTGGGATAAATACATTATGTAACGTTTGTTGGTCAAAGAACAAAATCACACTTACATACCGATACACACACGTATTACAATACATACATACATACATCAATGCATACATACATACATACATACATACATACATACATACATACATACATGCAGTACCAGCACGCCAAGGCAGGGAGACAACCTCGGATGCAGCACACATACGCATCCACCACGGAGTGCATTCTCCAAAACCTGTCAATGGCCATTGGAAATCCAAGCTCACGCTGCTATGCCAATGCACCATGGCGAGCATTTACTTGGATATGTGGACTCCTTCAGGAGACTCACACTGAGCCATGGGGAACCCTACATGCCGCTGTTCAAGAATCACTCGAACTGGCAGAAGCAGTGGACATCCAACAGCTGCCAGGACTACACCGCCTGTGGACCAAACATGACCTCAATGTCCAGGGCGATGCAAACCACTTCGTCAACACCCTCTGGAACTTGTCCCAGAGCAGAGCTTTCCACTACCGCTACGCCGAGATCAAAGCTGGAGGCTACCTCGCAGATCATGTCCAAGTTCCACTGTTGGTCGATTTCCCACACGAGTGGCCTGAAAACACCACAGTACAAACACTGATGAATGGATGGGCCAACGAAGGACTCGGCCAATACCTGCTGGATGATAAAGCCATCCTGGTCACCCACATCACACGCAACATCACTGTTGACGGGGTGGCTACAAAGCACAAGAAGGTCCTGAATCCATACGGAACCTTCACGGTACCAAGATCCATGGATGGCTTTGCCAGAGCATCCACTGAGTTTGTCCCGGCAGCGCTGATCTGCCACAGAGGCACCAACCATGAAGCAGGGCACTACTTTGCCATCCTCATCTACCGCGACCTACTTTGGTTAGCAGACGATGGAAAGGTTC